TATATATATATATATATATATATATATATATATATATATATATATATATATATATATATATATATATATATATATATATATATATATATATATATATATATATATTCTCTTTGGCTCATCATTTGAAAAAACAACAACAAGAAAAGTGAAATATTGACACTGAGTTTTTCTCATCATCTTCATCCTCTTTCTTGCATTTTCTCAACAACTACGCATAACCATTTTTGTTGATCATTTTGCATCATTGAGGTGATAACGTCCAAACATATAATATTGTATCAGGTTTGGATTGAGATTTCGATGGGTTTTTCTTGAATAAAATCATTAGGATTTTGTCCTCCAAGAATATTGAGGTTCTGGGTTTTTTTTGCACAAATCATTTCTTCACAGATTCAGTCGAGCGAAGGTGATTGAAGAACGAGTGGTTCATTCAATCTAGTAGCGGTAACAGGAGGATTATGGAAGAAAGATCTGGGTTCGAACTGTGTGTGATTGAAATCAGCTGAGCTAAAGATTTGAAGACTGTTGGGTTGTTCAGACGAGTAGCTGGAATCAGAAGTTTATTCAACACGTTCGAGGGACTTGATTCGGCTTTAATCAAGGGGAGAGAAGACATAGTATCAACATCAACAACTAGGCTTGAGTGTGTGGTTACTATTGCTTCTCTTATACAAACTTTTGCAACAGAATAACATAATCTCAATTCTATTTCTAGAATTGAGGGCATACGTACCCTAAGCGAGGACGAAAGGGGAACTACCTCAACAAATTCGGTGTTGTTCTTTCTTTCTCTATATCTCTATTTTTGAATTGTTAACGTTTGTGCACAATCAATTATTCAATAAAAATTCTGGTGTAGTGTAGTGCTGAAAAGTGTTTTGAAAAATTATTACAATCATTTTGATTATAATTGGAAAAATTCTGCACTACCATTACTTAGAGAATTTCAATTGGGGTGTTCTGCACACCAAGTGTTCGACGAATTGATCGCACACAAAATATTGGTGCTTGTGTCAATTTTAGTTTAATTTTTACAAGCTATTGGAAATTGCACAAACTTGAGTGATTCTAATTGTATTGATTAACTTTCAAAATATTGATTAATTTTCTCATTGGATTCGATATTCCATCTTGACTTATCGCATATCCAATCTTTTCTGTAACGATTCGTTTAGACGACCTAGTTCCTTGGCCGCTTCCGCATAAATTTTAAAAACCAAATTTATTTTAAGCGCTGACTCTGTTTAGAAATTAGTGATCTATTCAACTCCCCTTTTAGATCATTGCCTTCATCTAACACAATTATGATTATTGGAAAGGTAAGATGATTTCCTATCTAAAATCCATAGACAACAAAACTTTGAAGGTTGTGATAGAAGGTTGGAAACATTCAATGTTTACTTCTCAAGATGGTACAACAGGTTTAAAGCCTAAGTTGATTGGTCCAAAGGTAAAGATGGAAAAGCTCTTACTAATGACAAAGCGTTGAATGTCATATTCAATAGTTTTTACAAGAACCCGTTTAGACTAATCAAAACATGTATTAAAGCTAAAGAGGCTTGAGAGATTCTCAAGACTGCTCATGAAGGCACATCCAAAGTGCACATGTCAAGGTCGTAGCTCATCACAACCATGTTTGAAAATCTAAGATTGTTGAACGATGAATCCATATATGAATTCAACATTCGTCTTCGTGATATAGCCAATAATTATTTTGCATTGGGATAGAAGATGTTAGAAGAGAAACTTGTCAACAAAATCCTCATATAGTTGCCTAAGAAGTTTGACATAAGGTGATAACTATTGAAGAAGCTCAATATTTAAGCACCATGAAGATAAAATCACTGGCTCTCTTCAAACCTTTGAAGTTGCTATGAATGAAAGATCAGAAAAGATGAACAAAGGTGTATCATTTGTATCCAACTCTCAAGTAAGGAACAAAGATTACTATTTACAAAGACCAGTTTGGTCGAACATTTGAGTTACCCTTCTATGGAGTATCTTACACTTGTGATGAAACCTTAAAGTTCAAGGGTTTCAAACTCTCAATCGCCATCTTTACCTTTGTCATGAATTCTATAAGAGAAAATAAGCTCCCTCTTAGAAAAAGTTTCTTAAAGGCCAAGATTCGAGTGGCACACTACTTTCATACACATATAGTCCTCCCCAGACAAGATAATATTGAAGTCATCATTAGTAAAGATGTGGTTGCTTTGGGTCAATATGATGTTTCTTCATGTGCTTTTTGCAAGTAGATTTGATCAACATAGTATCGACATAGAGTGTTGATCACCAAGATTTTAGCTGCTGCCGAAGTTAACATTGTGGGGGAATCAGTGGATCCAATCCACTTTAAGATTAACTAATCCTCTTTCAATAGTACGAGGGTTCAATTTTTTTCCAGATGAGCTGAGAAACGACTTCATGGATGAAGTTAAAGATTTACTTTAGTCAACTACAACAAATGATGAAACAATAAATATCCTTATGACAACCACTCAACATAATACTTTGGCTATTCAAAGTTTGGTGAACGATGTGACTGCCATCAAGAGGAATACATAAAAAAAAGTCATAACCAGAGACAATAATATTAATGATAATTAGTAGTTGTCTCAATTTAATATCTCTTGCTATTTTGAGTGATTATTTCCTAGTTAATGTTCTTCTTATACTTGAATTGAGTCTTCTCAATTAATGAAGTATGTTTTCCGTTTTAAATGCATATGCGTGCTTTTAGAGATCTATGTGCTTGAATACCTATCATATATGTTTTTCTACCTTTTTGATAATGTCAAAAAGGAAAAAGTATATTCTCAAGGGTGTATGATATACTCACTCTACGTCTCAGAGAGAATTTAACCATTCAAATCTATCATATTTATTTCTTTGTTTGTTTAACATCTTTTTTGGTCTTGTATGTAACCTTAGAGTTTATTTTGATCAATTAATTAAAAAAAGGTTTTATATTAGTTTATTAACTCTTTAAAACGTAACATATTAATCATTTTTTTTAATTAGCGGTAAATTTAGCGATTGATCTATGAGTTTTTACGTCGTTAATTAGACGAAAAAGACTAATATAATACGTTTTAATAAGTTAAAAAATTAATATAATTTTTTAAAAAACTAATTAACCAAAAAGAACCTAAAGTAAACATACCATACAAAAAGGAAATTATCCTTCTTTATTTGTCCACCCTACCTAAAAATTACATCGTCATAAAAAATAAGTGATGCATTGAAATATTTTCCTTTAGTAAATAACAATATTTAAAATAATAACAAATAACATTAAAATAAATAAGAGATAAATGATACTTTTGATTGATAGAATCAAAATAGAATTATGCAATTTACTAATCTTTTTATAAATTTAAAATTAATGTGAGAGAAATATGTATATAAACATAGAGGATATAATAGGTAATAAAAGACTTTAAATAAAATAAAAGAAAAAATCAGCATAAAAAACTTAACCTCAAAAAGCTTGATTATATATAACCCATAAATTAATAAAGTTAACGAATCCCAGTGTAGTACAAGTATCGAACGAGCAAGTTCCGCCGTTAAACTAAAATCAAAATAATTTCCGCCTTTGCTTCACGGCCATTGCCTCTGCTCTGCTCTGCCTGATGCTTCGCCTTCCATCACCACGTTGAGGTTCGTTTCCATTTCTTCGATTTCTCCATAACCTAACTATCACGTCGCTACTTTTTTTTCTCGCCCAATTATTTTCTTAACCCTACACCCAATTATTGATTAGGTTCTGCTTCATTGATTCTGATTTTTTTTTATCGGCATTAGGATTGAATCAATCTGCTTCATAGCTTTATTTGTGTGTGGATTTGTTTACAACATTGTGGGTCCATTTTGAATTTTCATCAATTTCGTATTTTCTTTGTTTTTCCCCTTTTGGAATTTATCTATGATCTGTATTTATAGTTATGTGTGCTTATTTAGAACCTAATACAGTTTGTGATATTAACAAGTTGAAAAAATTAAACTCAATACATATTTTGAACTCTCCGGTTTCCATGTTGAGGGAAAGGTTTTGAGATTTCTCTCTTGCTTTGATATTTGCTAGTTATTACTACTGTTATAAAGTAGTAGTGAATGGTGATACAGATGAATATGCTTCTAGGTTTTTTTTACTGTTTTAATGAAATGTATATTGTTATAGCATCTATGCGTACTCTTGGAACTTGTTTTTCATGTAATTTGATTTATTAGGTTTGAAGCTAGATTTAGGTGGTTTGGTTTGGGCACGTAGAGAGTAAACATGTAGAAGACAAGATAGTGGAAGCTAGATTTAGGTGGTTTGGTTTGGGCACGTAGAGAGGAAATATGTGGATTTTGTAGTGCGGAGAGTATATCAGATGGAGGGCAGTCAAACCGCTAGAGGTAGCGAAATACCTAGAAAAACTATCAAGAGAGATCTCGAGATTAATGAGCTGGATAGAAGTATGATATTTAAGATGGTGGAAAATCGACTTAGATGGTTTGGGCATGTAGAGAGAAAACTTGTAAACTCTATGGTAAGGAGAGTAGATCAGATGGGGAGAAGTCAAACAATTAGCGGGAGAGGAAGACCTAGAAAAACTATAAGAGAAATTATGAAGAAAGATCTTTAGATTAACGATTTGGATAGAAGCATGATTATGGTAAAAACATTATGGCGCAAGTTGATCCATGTAGCCGACCCTACTTATAAGGCTTGGTTATTGTTGTTGTATAGAAGTATGGTATTTGATAGAATATTACGGCGTTGCTTGATCCATGTAACTGAGCCCACTTAGTGGGATAAGGTTTGGTTGTCGTTCTATCATGCTTTCTTTATGAGGAAGCATGTTCATCTCTGTGATATAATATTGTGGTGGTGCTTTATTAGTCAGTTTAATCTCTATAATTTATAATTGATTGGATTTTGCTATGGCGTGCAGGCTTTTTCCCTCTTTTGAGTTCTGCAGCTCTGAGTAAAGATCATCGGGCTGTAGAGAATGGCAGAAACTATGTCTAGCTTCTGGGGTCCAGTTACATCCACCAAAGAGTGCTGTGAAGAAAATTATATACATTCGTCTTACATTGCAGAACTTTATAACACTATATCCAACATTCCGACAATTATTTTGGCTCTGATTGGTCTTATAAATGCTCTAAGACAACGATTTGAGAAAAGGTTCAGTGTCCTGCATTTGTCAAACATGACACTTGCCATTGGAAGCATGTTGTACCATGCCACACTGCAACATCTGTAAGTATCGGTCTCCATCTTTTTCTGTGGAAATCTATGTTTTCTTTTTTGATTGATTGCAATTTATTTACTGTTAGTTTGTATTATATGACTTAGGTTTGAATTTTATAAAATGTTTATTTCATAACTGAAAAATTCAGACTTAAGGTGTTTGCAGGAGATATATCACTGTACTCTAGCTACATGTTGTCATGAGGAAATATTGAATCATAAGTATGGAATGATTTTTGATCATCATTAATAATTTAATTTGGCCATACAAACATCTTTTCATGTTCATATGGTTCAATTGATATTCATATTGAAGAACAATTAGAATTGCTTGCTCTAACCTCACAAACATCAGAAGATCATGTAATGGTAGAGTCCAGGAAATGGTTGGACCCAAGTTTGTAAAGATTGGGATCTTGCTTAAGACCAGGAGGGGATAGTAAGATCGTAAAACATAAGATACTAACTAAGATCGGATGATCCTCCCCAATTATTTTTGTAAGATTAAGAGGGGGTAGCAAGAACGTATGACATAAGATCGTAACAAAAATTGTAAGATATTAAAATGAAAAATAATACTATATATTTGAAGTGTTTTTACATGATATTTTGGTTGGCAAGTATATTTGTGGGAAAACGAGTGCTGCCACATCATAATTGTTGTGCCCTTGCATCTTGTGATCCTTCTTGGAATGTAATGGCAGTGGCTGGAAAACGGCTGATTGTTGCCGGAACTGGCCAAGATCAAACAAAATCAACGGTTTTGCGATGTTTTCACAATTTGGCTACAACACACTGTTCTACTGAAGATTTGGATCGTTGGGGGTGAGTGAGATTGCAAAATCGTAAGGTTTTAGGATCTAGATCGAGATCGTTACAGCCTTGGTTGGACCTATTGTGGTTTTGTTGTAGGCGGCATCACCTTGGATTTGTAAGGTGCTGATTCCACTACTTAAAGAATGAAGTAGAGAAATGACAATGCCAGAGACATGGGGAGAAACATAACTTCTACAAAAAGAGAGAGGGACAAAGAACAATAGGAATGATATAGGAGAGGAAAAAATGGAATATATAACAAAAACAAATAATTAGCGAGAACAGAGACAAAAAAGGGATCAATAGGCAGAGAGATTATTTAAGAGAACCAAAGTTCTGGCTTCAAAGGAGGGGAGGAGGTGCAGATGCAGATTGGTGTCTATTCTGGTTTAGAAGTTCAGGTTTACAGATGTATCATTTGTTAGAGACGATGGTTGGGAATTGTCACTCAAACGCTTGAGATGGTGGGTATGGATGGAACTTTCAATTTTCAATCGTGGGGCACCATATATAAATCTTTAGTATTAATTATACCATTTAATTTTTAAATATTAATATACATCATAATTATTTTCTATTATTTCTCATTTTTAACATTAATAAAAAAATATATTTTTATATGTTAATTAACAAAATATTTAATTATTTTTGCTGTTGTTGCGTGTGTTGTTACCAGATCTTGTTAATAAGTACTCTAAGAGCATTATTTATAATTAAAACAAAATACTTAATCATTAAAAAGGTTAAATACATCTCTTTTTTATATAATAAAAACACAGTTTGCATAAAATCTTACTTCTTTAATGCTTTGCTAAACAACATCCTTAGAATATATTAAATAGCATTTGCCATTTGCCTTCTTTAAATTTGTTATTGTGGGTGCTTCTGAAATTTAAAATACAACAGAGGCAAAACAAATGATACATGTATCATGAATGTGCTATCATGTATGTGCTATGTTGGACTATGGGTAGAGTAGTTTGTATTGGGTGATGGGTGCGGGCCATTGGTCAAAATTTCAAACATATTCTTCTTTATCATAACTAAGTGCAGACATATGCCCCCAATATCCCCAAGGTACATCATCCATATGGAGTTCATTCAGTTTGCGAAGATTGTTCAAGTGTGATAGTAGTTGCAACTTGCAAGCTCTATAGCAGTGTTATCAAATATCCGTCTTGGCGGTGCTATGGCGAATATACACGGCGGGTTTTGGGCTCTCCGTAATTGTAAATATTGACTGATATTGCGGGTTTTCTCCTATAATCTGCTATAACGGCGCCACAAAGCGGCCAGTATGGTGGGATTTTTGCTCTCTGCCATGGACTGCCATCGATAATACTACTCTAGAGATTTCATATATTCCTTTTAGAATATAACAAAAAATGTTCTTTTTCTTCTTTCCAATTAACAACTGCAAGTTGCTATTTCTGCCATGGACTATCGTGACAGATGCACCTTCCATTTGCCACCACACAGAACTCCGAGTCTTGGTGGCTTGATCAAATTCCAGCAAACCAATATCAGGAATACCTAATACAAATCAAACCTTTCAATGATTGATTAGGCAAATGATACATATATGGTACAACATTGACACAAGGATGTGGTAAATTTCCTAAATTTACAGGGCACAACATAGACTACAATACTTTGTATACAACTACTATAAAACCCATCTTAAATAAAAAAGAAAAGAAAGGTGAGCATGACGACATATAAAATGTTATCACTTATCTTTATTAGTATAAAAGTTCAAAGAACAAGCGATGTTTAAAATGCAGTATGGGGTTTCTAAGTGTTTGTGAAGTGTCTGAGAAATAGACATTTATAATAAATGTCTTTCAAGTGTCCATGGTTGGTTGTTTAGTGGGGTAAACGAGAAAGTGGGGTACTGAGACATAAGTGGAATTTGTATTTGAGCATAGTAATTATATCAGAAGCCACTCATGCATTTAAATTAGGTGGCTAATTTTTTTATTTTATCTCTAATTTTCTCTCATATTTGCATGTTTCCTTATGTGGATGATTTTTTTTTTTATCTTTCTTTTAACCTTTGCCGCTTGGAGAAATATATACTTTCTAATGTGTTTTTGTACTTCCAACACTGAATATGAAATTGTGGCTACTCACAACTTATAATTATATTCGAGTGTTCAACCAGTTTGGTACCATCGAGCTAGTTGCCTTTGCTAAGATCGTTGTAAGCTTGCTTTATAGGCTAAGAGTGCAAAATTCTGGGACAAAAGGATGAATATATTATTTCTTAATTTATTTCAGACACAAATGGGTTTGAAGTTGATATGTTAGGTATTATGGGGCATTCAAGTCCTACATCGGGTAGTGTGAGATGCTTGGTGGTGTACTTAAGTGTCTTGATTCTTCCCCTTAATAGCTAGCTTTTAAGGGAGGATTCCCAAATTGCTTGGATACTTATCAATTGGTATCAGAGTTGGTTATCGCTGGCTCAGATAAGAAAGGGCTGTCTACTGAGGGGTTAACCTAGTAGTACAGTGGAGATTACCGCTGCTGAGTCATTGGCTTTCATTGGCGGTGCTATGATAGCGCTTGGGTATTATATGGTGTCTAAGTCTCATATCCAGTGTTATGGGATGCCAGGCGGAGTATTTAATTTTTTGTTTCTTCCCCCTTGATAGCTAGCTTTTAAGGGAGGGTTCTCAATTGCTTGGAGACTTATCATTACAACGGGATCTAAATTGGTTTCTTGAGCGCCCACCCAATGATATAAATCAAATGAGTACTTATACTAAATTATTTTACATTGTCATTTACCGACTCTTGAGGTTATTCTTTAAGTGCAGCTAAGTCTTTGAATTTATTTATGTAAGTTGGTTCTTAAATTTACAGAACCCAATCATGCAAGTCATTTTTGAGACTAGAGTGAGAAATTAACAAGAAGGATTAACATGATATGAATTTATAGGTTAGGTGATAACCTACCCACTTGAATAAACTATGTAACTAGATGGATAATAATTACAGGGATTACCAGCGTGTTAGGTGAAATCTCCAAACCATGATTTGGGCAAAAGCTCCAAAGATTTTACTCTGTGGTTTGAGGCTTAGGCTTTTTGAACAGAAAACCAAAAACAGATTGCTTTGCCTATATAATCACCAAGAGCAATCATAGTCTTACCTTTTCTTATGTTGAATATGTACTACTATAGTGCTAGATTTTTCTTCCTGATAAAATTGGGTGCTTTGAATTGTTTAGTCTGTTCATTAATTATGTAATGTTTTTTATTTATTTATTTTAAATTTTTTTTAATTTTGGATGAATATTTGTTAATCAGATAATGCTTTTAATTTTTAGGCAACAACAAGGGGATGAAACTCCTATGGTATGGGAGGTGCTTCTATACATGTACATCCTCTACTCTCCAGATTGGCACTATCGCAGTACAATGCCTATCTTCCTATTTCTGTATGGTGCTGGTTTTGCAATTGCCCATAACGTGTTCCGTTTTGGTGTCGGCTTCAAAGTGCATTATATAATTCTGTGTCTGCTGTGTACTCCAAGAATGTACAAGTATTACATTCACACTCAAGATGTCTTAGCCAAGCGGCTAGCTAAGCTATTTTTAGGTACTCTTATATTAGGAAGTTTGTTTGGGTTTTGTGATCGTGTTTTCTGCGACGAGATATTGGGTTGGCGTATTAATCCTCAGGGTCATGCTTTGTGGCATGTCTTCATGGGTTTCAATTCCTACTTTGCAAACACATTCTTGATGTTTTGCCGTGCTCAACAGCGCGAGTGGTCTCCGAAAGTTGTTTATTTAATGGGTGTTTTACCATATGTGAAGATTGAGAAACCAAAGAGCCAGTGACAGATTTGGAAGCTTCTTTCTTATGATACATTCTAGCTATAGACAAGTTGTGACAAAATTATTAAATGGGTGTCTTTCTTTTCTTTACTTCTTTTTCACTTTGTGGTTTTGATTGGCTTAGAAATGATGATGAATATTTGCATATTTTATTGTAGAAGTAGGATGTGTACCATATTTATCTTGGACCTTAACTCAATATTGGCAAAAGTGAAAGTTATTTTGCCTACTGGATTTTGTTGGGACCTGGAATGCCCGGATTCATCAGGGAAGAAACCACCACCACTCATACATTATTTATGTTTTATTAATTACATTCAGATGAATTACTTCATATTTTATTAATTGAATTTCTAAAATAACTAATTTTTAAACTTTTATATTGAAATTTTTAAAAGATTTTTCTGAGTTTCATTAGTGTTGGTCAATCCACGATATAAAATGGCATGTTACATCCTTCAAAATATTTAAATTACTATTACTATTTCTTAATCTAAAAATATGATGGAGAAACTAAAATGACTGGTTTTAAATTTATCAATGAGAGTATGTACATAATATTTGTATTTATCTCTACAAAAGAAACTTATCAAAACTTCTACTAATTTAAAGTCAAAAGCTAACAAATAAATTAAAAGTTTATATTAAAGGATTATATAATAATATTGTAATGGTAAAAAGGTAGAAGTGTGCATATTATTCATGTTAGGGAAGGTGCACCAAATGCTTTAGTAGGTTTATAATAATTTGAGGATGATTAGGGTTTGCCTACGACGGTGAAAAAGTGTGTGATGGTGTTTACGGTGGTTTAGAGGTTTTTTTCACGTGAGGTGTGAGGCTCAGTATGCAAGCATGTAACTTTGAGTGTTGTGTATGTTAGTTATGATCTGTCCCTTCTTCCATTGGGGGGAAGGGGGAGATAAGAAGTATTCGGGGGGGGGGGGGGGGGGGGGAGATAAGAAGTATATAAGCCTTTGGGTCCAGGGTTTATTGAGAAGGATCGTCGTCTACGTAGTCATTGATGGACCATTGAATTCATATTTCTTATAGGGACATGATCTAGCTCCTGACCCCGACTTCTCTCTGACCAAGAAACGTCCTTTCTCATGTTTTCTCACAATTTGGCGAGCGGATGATGCTTGGGGGCGAGACTATATCTCTTAGAGGGTAACACATGGTTGTTGCTTTTCCTGGGAGATGCCAAGCTCCCGCCCTTGTTAGTGACTTTACAGATATAACACTACATAGTTCCTAAAGCACGAGGACTTTTTATAAAGGAAAACATATTTTGTTAGCAATAGAGCATTGTAGTATCTTAAAGCCCAAAGTTTCTAAATTTCTCGGTGATATGTGTGGCAAACTAGGCCAATTAGGCTTTCAGATCCTTAGATTAAGTTACGTTAAGTCTGGTCGATGAGACTATGAGTCTCTCAGGCTATGGCGTTAGACCTCTCGGGCGGAACTTCTATCAAGCACTCAGAAAAGAATTTGGACTTAAGTCTCTTAGGCCATACTTTAGTCACGCCCTCTAGGAGAGATATATATGTTTAAACTCCACCCGAGAAAACTCTACGTACCTTAGGTGATGAGTTAAATAACCTTTTCGAGGAGAACTTTTAGTCCCACAAACGAGGCGTTGGACCTCTCGGGTGCGACTTCTATCAAGATCTTATACAAGACTTTAGACTAGGTCTCTCAGGGTCGTGTCCCCTAAGAGAGAGAGATAAATATGTTTGAACCCCGTTCGAGGAAACCTTAAGTCCCACATGTGTGGAGTTAGATTTCCTTCTCAAGGGGAACTCTTAGTTCCACAAGAGAAGTTATATAAGGCCTTAATGATGAGAACATAAGTCCCTCAGGCGAGGCGTTGGACCTCACAGGTAAGACTTCTATAAAGTACTCAGACAAGACTTTAGACTAAGTCTCTTAGGCTAAACTTCGGTCGCGCCCCATGGGCGAGAGATATATATGTTTGGACCTCGCTCGTGGAAACTTAGTCCCTCATGCGAGGAGTTAGATAATCTTCTCGAGGGGAACTCTTAGTCCCACAGGAGAAGTTGTATTAGACATGATTGATGAGACCATAAATTCCTCAAGCAAGGCGTTGAACTTCTCAGACGAGACTTCTATCAAGTCCTTAGACAAGACTTTAGACTAAGTCTTTTAGACTAGAATTCGCAACCACGATTGATGTAAAATATGGACTTCACAATCTTGATTTACCTGACAGATTAGAAGGTCATTCATTTGTTGACCGTCTAAGTTCAAAAGAAAGATATTTTGTTGTTGATTTGACAAAAACATCATGCTCCACTCAGACACATACTACTTTCATTGCAAGAACGTGATCCAAAGAATGTTACTCGAATCACACAAATATATAAACATAAAAGCAAATTACAAAAATAAATTATATGTCCTAGAACTAAGATACAACATTTGTTTATTATGATGAATGATGCAAATTTTATTTACTGGAGTAGAATAAGAGATGACACAAATGTTGTGAGATATGTTTTTTGGACACACCCAGATTCAGTGAAATTGTTGAATATTTTTCATATTGCGTTGATTATGGACAACACATACAAGACAAACAAGTACAAACAACATTTGTTTGAAATTGTTGGTATGACTTCGATTGACTTGACATTTTCTATTGCATTTGCCTATATGGAATCAGAGCAGACATATAACTTTTGTTGTGTATTGGATAAGCTAAAATAGTCATTTAAGAAGGAAGGGATTATACCACAAGTGATTATGAAAAATAGAGATCTTGCTTTGATGAAAGAAGTTGAAGTTGTGTTTCCAAGTATAATTAATTTGCTTTGTCGATGTCACACCAACAAAAATGTTCAAGCAAGATGAAAGAAATATGCGGTGAATGATATGTTAGATGTGATAGACACACTATGGATGGAACTTGTATGAGCTAGTGGTGAGGTGGAGTATCATTAGCAGTTGCAACAACTTGAGCAATCATATCTTAATTATGTCGTATTCATTGATTATGTTAAAGACATATGGTTGATTCCTCACAAACAAAAAATTAAGAAAACATGGATTAATTAAGTGCTACATTTGGGCAACACAAAGACTAATAGGTTCTTTTTGTTTTAGTAGTTTTAGTTTTTTTTTCTTTCCAATCTACCTTAATTAATGTTTTCTTTCATTTTAGGGTTAAGTCTACTCATTGGAAACTGAAGTAGATGTTGGAGAACAATATATGTGACATGTGAAAATGTTGGGAGGCTATGAACAACAACTTGAAGTTAAAATTGGGCAACATTTATTTTCAAAAGAGTTTTTATGAGGATGAGTACCCACACACTTCCATTTTATGGAAATCTGCGTGAATAAGTATCAAGAGTTGATTTGAGACGCATTGCGAAAGAGTTCTCAAGGGTTGATTATGTTGGAACCAACACTCAAATTTGTGGGTGTACTCTTAGAATATCATGTGGGTTGCCTTGTGCTTGTGAGTTGGGAAGATACACACTGGTTGGTGATTCGATACCTATAGATGTTGTTCACATTCATTAGAGGAAGTTGAGCATGGAAGATCAATAGGAGGTTGACACAAATGATGGATCAGAGGTGGACATGACAAGTGCAATAAAAGCATTGTGGAGAAGGTTCAGGTCTTTGGATGTTGTAAGAAAAATAACATTAAAAGTAGAATGTATGAAGTTGCTTACCCCATTATGACTTCAATGTGCCCACCACCTCAGAAAATAAAAACCAAAAGAGGAGTGAAGAAGAAAAGGAAGAAACCAGTGGGGTATAATGTTTATCGGAATCCTTCATCCCATGAGCATGTTGAGCAAACATATTCTGATTCTCAAAGCTCGTCAAAGAAACCATCAAAACAACTATCATAATTTTCTCACAACTAATCATCTCAAAAGCAGTCATTTAAGTGTTGAATGTCAAATATGTCTTAATTTGAATAATTATTCTTGGCATTTTTCAACTCATTTCTTAAGTTTTAATTGATTTATTCCATGTTCTTATGTGATTATTCAATATAATTGTTGTTACCTTTGAATTCTTTGATGTGTGTGTTTGTGTGGCAATCAGGTTTGATTATCAAAGAATAAGGCACAAATTAATGGACAAGGAAGCCAAAGAAATGATTAAGAATCCAACAAGTTCGTAGTGCAAACAAGTAGAGAAGGAAAAACGAGCTCGCAGTGCGAGCTCAAAATGAGGCCAAGGCGATATGGGAATTTTAGGTGGCAGTAGCTAAACCCCTCACTGAATGTAGTACGAGGCCTGGGCGAAGAAGTTCGCAGTGCGAAGTCAAAGAATCCTCAGGGGAGGTTTAACAGTTCAAAGACACTTCATGTGCCTATAAGTGAAGTTCACAGTGCGAGCGAGACAGATTTTGTAAAGATATTTATGTAATTTTTTACTTTTTGGGGATCATAACTTAGAAAACCTACTTTTCTGAAAGAGACACATTGACTTAGAGAGAAAAAACCCTAAGTTCTTCATTTCTTCATCAAGAAGTGATATTTTACAAGTAGAAGCTGGATTCGCATCCTAGATCGATTATTCATCTTGGATGCACATTCGTCTTCTTTCTTTACTTGTGAAGCAAGCTACCATGGTGATGGGTAGCTAAATCCTTTGTATCAAAGGTAGATGTAGTCTATCTTAGCTTGTATGTATTTCTTTTGATCTCTTTGCATGTGAACAAGTGGATGATTAATATATGGTAAATGTTTTTGTTTTTAAAGATCTATTTATGATTTGTATCACTCTAGACATAGATCTTACAAAACTTGATATAAAATATTTATCTATCAATAAACAAACTCTAGACATAGATTTGTAAGTTGATACTTGCTTTGTGTTGATCTTAAAGATTATTGTATTTGTTGTTAGCATGACACATCATCTAATGACAGATACAATAATACTCACGACATCGCTCTAGACATAGTAGATATTGAGAGGATACATGATTATATTAATCAAAACGAATTCACATGCTT